ACACACAGTGCATCATAGTTTGTTAAACTGAATGAATATAATATAATACAAATGAATGTTAATACACATTGGGCAGCAAGATGTGTCCTGTCACCTTTCCTGTGATTAGTTTTAATTATGGGTACTCATTTAAAATCATTGAAATCTGCAATTAGAAAGAGTTGAATTTGTTAAAATAATGTTCCTTATATTATCAAATGTTTTACATTGTAGGAGAAAATGCATCTTTCTCAACCTCATCGTCTCATTTTTAATTTCCATTCACTGAGTCTGTACTTGGTTAGGATCTATCTCTGCTTTCTATCTCTGACAGAGAGAGATTCTTCTCATTCTTAATGTGTTTTTAGGGTGAAATAACGTTATAATCTACGTTTCTTCTTTCCACTGTTCCATAAAGGTTTCTTCTATATTACTTTATAATTTGGTTTACTCTGATTGGTGTCTGGAAAGCAGTGTTGTAATACTGGTCCGAGTGTGTCTGACAGGGGGCAGCACTGACGTAGGGGACTCCTCTGGGCTCAGCTCCAGGGTTTGGACAGCTTTGGATTGGAGGGTGTGGCTGATTTTAGGGTGATTTTAACAATTTGCTAATAATAATAATAATGCTAATCATCAGTGGGCATCTTGTCTAATTCTACATGCCTTTGTCTGTGTTTTTCTGTGAATATGTAAAGTATGTGTAGAGAGGTTTTTCTCCCAACGGGTACAGCTAGGATGACTGAGTGGACCCCATACAGCACAATACACTGGATGACACTGACACAAATATTTGAAGCCAGATTTTAATTGGAATTTGGATACTATAACATTTTCTCTAAACTGCATTTAGAGCCTCAACATTTTCACACCTGTATGAGTAAAACTCTCCCTGCACAATTCCCTTAATAACTGCTTTACAGTTTATTAACCCTTTAACTGCATCTACTGATTGGCTTAGGAAGTCTAGCTAGCCCTGATAATTACAGAGAGCAAACACATGTAATGAGGGTGACACATGTGAAATCATCTTTCGACACTTAAAAACTGTAAGGGCTGCAACTTGTTTCGAAACTACAGTTAATCTAATGTCTTCTTTGTTCTTTTCTTTTCCCAGCTCCATCAGCACACCTTGTTCCTGCATTTCTAACTTGCTAATCAATGCTCTCTATCTTTACGCAATCACAAAGAAATTCTATTTATTGTCCGACAGTTGTGTTTGCGTATCATTAAGTTATGCAATTCATCAATACAGTTTAGTAGCAATACAGTGAGGCCCAGAAGTCTTAAAGTGTATTACATGTCAGTAAATACATAAAATAAAACAATTTAAATGTGACAGGCGCAGAGTGGAGGACGACAACACAACAGCACAGCATCATTACTGCTGACTGCCATCCTGCCCTGCCTGTGCATCTCCCACAAACAGAGGAGTCTGGGAAGATGGGGCCTCAAGCTGGTGGTATGTAGGGTGGAGAATGGTAAAGGGTTGAGGTAAGAACTCATAATAGATGGTGAGCTAGAACCTAGCAGCAAAGTCTCTAGGGCTTTCATGCCTCTTAGCCTTGTTGTGTTATTAGTTTAAGCAGACTTATCAATGTGAAGAAAGTTTTGCGTGGGGCATAGACACAATGGTTCCAAAGACCCGGCAGAGGATGACAACCTGCAGTCTGGACCGGTAGCTATAGCAAATGATCGGGTGATGCTCCCTGGATACCCCGCTCACTTACAAAGAGACCATACTGGAGCACTTGCACCTGAAAGTGCCTTCACCCCTTTAGTCTAGTTACTTAACATTACCCCAGTTGACAACCATGAGTTACTCCAGGTTGCAGCCCACGTCTCCTTGCTGGAGTCGGGGGTGGAGACGGGTCTTCAGGGAGATGCAGCTCATCTGGTGGTATTCAACTCTCCCTTTACCTTTTGTCTTCTTTGTCCAGCCTTGAGCCAGTTGTGACATTCCCAAGCACCTCTTAGTGAGGGACGGGCATGGTAGTTGTTTGAGGGCGAGCCTCTGTAAAAGGATTGCTGGTTGAGGCGGCAGATTATGGACTATGATTCCGGTCAGAGAATCAAGGCACTTGGAGAGAGAAAT